CCTCCCTCCCTCCCTCCCTCCCTCCCATCTATTTGATTTCTTTGTTTCTCTCTCTTTCTTTCCACCTCTTTCCTCCTTTCTTTCCACCTTTCTCTCTCTCTCTCTCTCTCTCTCTCTCTCTCTCTCTCTCTCTCTGACAAATAAATATCATTAGCAAACAAATAAATATCGTTGGACAAATAAATATCATTATCAATATCTGTTTTTACCCCTCTTGCTTTTATTTTTGGCAGGCTCAATTAATGTTAATAAAAAGCAAATCTGCATATTTTTAAATAAAAATGTGTTCTCAAACATCTGACACTCATTCTATGTGGCTCTGACGCTGAGCAAGTTTGGCCGGCCCTGGTGCAAGATATACAAGGCATGTCACGACGGGAGCTGGCTAAGTGTCACAGTTAAACAACCTTATTCCCAGTCATAAACATGCTCCCCCACCCCTCCCGAAAGTCCCGCTTTACCCCAGCTCTGTTAGGTCTGGCTGCCTGAGCCTGCTATTGGGCAGCTTGGAAAGAACTGGAGAACCATCAAGTTGGGAGGGAACCCGCATGGCTGGTGTAGCCCCAGATGGCAGAGGAGAATCTCAGAAACTGAGCTGTTCGTTGCCAGAAATTCGACCGGGTGAGCCGCTGTGCCGGTCGAAGAGTCAGGGCAGGAGGGGGCCTGTACTGCTTCAGCCCACTGGAAGGGGGGGGGCTGAAAATGGAGCTCGTAAGCCATCCAGGTCCATATCTCTACTTTGCCGGGGAAGCTCACGGGATGATCTTGAGCCAGTCATTCTCAACCTGATCAACCACAGAGGGTGGCTGTTATGACAGGAGGGGGAAACGGTGCATTTGTGGGACGGGCTGTGGCTCAGTGGCACAGCATCTGCTTGGCTTGCAGAAGGTCCCGGGTTCAATCCCCGGCTTTGCAAGTTAAAAGGACCAGGCAGGAGGAGATGTTAAAGACCTCAGCCCAAGACCCTGGAGAGCCATGAAGTGGGGCTGTAGCTCAGTGGAAGAGCCTCTGCTTGGCAGGCAGAAGGTCCCGGGTTCAATCCCCGGCTTCTCCAGTTAGAAGGACCAGGCAGGAGGAGATGTTAAAGACCTCAGCCCAAGACCCTAGAGAGCCATGAAGTGGGGCTGTAGCTCAGTGGTAGAGCATCTGCTTGGCAGGCAGAAGGTCCCGGGTTCAATCCCCGGCTTCTCCAGTTAGAAGGACCAGGCAGGAGGAGATGTTAAAGACCTCAGCCCAAGACCCTAGAGAGCCATGAAGTGGGGCTGTAGCTCAGTGGTAGAACATCTGCTTGGCAGGCAGAAGGTCCCGGGTTCAATCTCCGGCTTCTCCAGTTAAAAGGACCGGGCAGGAGGTGATGTTAAAGACCTCAGCCCAAGACCCTGGAGAGCCATGAAGTGGGGCTGTGGCTCAGTGGTAGAACATCTGCTTGGTAGGCAGAAGGTCCCGGGTTCAATCTCCGGCTTCTCCAGTTAAAAGGACCAGGGAGGAGGAGATGTTAAAGACCTCAGCCCAAGACCCTAGAGAGCCATGAAGTGGGGCTGTAGCTCAGTGGTAGAGCATCTGCTTGGCAGGCAGAAGGTCCCGGGTTCAATCTCCGGCTTCTCCAGTTAAACGGACCAGGCAGGAGGGGACGGGAAAGACCTCAGCCCAAGACCCTAAAGAGCCATGAAGTGGGGCTCTAGCTCAGTGGTAGAACATCTGCTTGGCAGGCAGAAGGTCCCGGGTTCAATCCCCGGCATCTCCATGGAAAAGGACCAGGCAGGAGGTGATGCGAAAGACCTCTGCCTGAGACCCTGGAGAATCACTACCAGTCTGAATAGACAAGACTGACAGTAATGGACCAAGGGTCTGGTTCAGTATAAGGCAGTTTCACACGCCAATGCATCACAAAGGAAGGCCAGTTTGAAACAATGACCAATCAAAGAGAAAAATCAATCAATTCCAACTGGCTTCTCTTTGTAACATCTCCCCCACAGGAGAGGAAGAGAGGCCCTAACTCACATGGAATTTTGCCACCTCTCATGGTTAGGGTATCAGCAGTATAGCTTTGGGGAACATGTGCGTTTCAAGGAGCGTGGTTACCAGAGACAGCCGAGTCAACGCTATGCTTGGAAGAAATGACCTTTCGGGAAGGAAACCCGAGCTGAGCTTCGGGCTCTGATGATGCCTTCTGCACCTCAGGTGGGATCATATTACTGCCTGACAATGCAGGCAATTTTTCAAATGTGACGTGGCGGATACAGCAATCCCACTCCGCTGTCAAAATCCGAAGCTGCCTGGCTCTAGTCGAGTGACTGGGAACCAACCGGGCCGGCACCTGACAGCCAATCTTGCAGCCAAAACTGGGGGAGATGTCGGGAAAGGGCGGAGCCCCGCAGTAGGTGTTTTTTTCATCTGCAAATTCCGCCTGCGATGCTCTGTGCAGCTGTGTTGCCACCAGGGTTCCCTCTAAGCTGAGCTAGTGTGAGCTAGCTCACAGTTTTTTAGCCTCCGGCTCACACATCCCTGTCTCGGCTCAGGAAGGAGGGCTCCAGAGGCAACTAATTTATGCAGTAGCCAAACTGCTCGCTCACAACTTTAATGCCCGTAGCTCACAGAGTAGAATTTTTACTCACAAGACTCCACCACTTAGAGCGAGCATTGGAAAGATTTCCTCCTGCTACCCCCCCTCTGCCCATTAATTAAGGCCATTTTGTGGATGCCATAAATTGCGCCCGACTTCAGCTCTACAGCTAACGCTATTATGATGATGATGATGATGACTTATATACCGCCCTCCCCAAGAGCGGGCTCAGGGCGGTGAACAACAAGGTTTCATAAATACAAACAATCTCATAAAGGTGAAGGCTTCCCTTGCTCGAAAGCCAGTCGAATCCAACTCTAGGGGGCGGTGCTCATGTCCACTTCCAAGCCGAAGAGCCAGCGCTGTCCGAAGACTTCTCTGTGATCACGTAACCGGCATGACTAAACACCTAGGCACACGGAACGCTGTTCCCTTCCCACCGAAGCGGTACCTATTTATCTACTTGCAATTTCTTGCTTTCGAACTGCCAGGTTGGCAGGAGCTGGGGCCAGAGACGGGAGCTCACTCCGTCACGCGGCACTCGGGTCTCAAACTGCCAAGCTACGACCTTCCGGTCTGTAGCTCAGTGTCTTAACCTCCGAGCCACCGCGGCCCCAAACAATCACATAAATACATATAAATACAAGGTTACATAAAACCATTAAATAATCTAAAATACAGTTAAGGTGGTTACCCAAAATTCACAAGGCACCATAATACAGTTTTAATCCCCAGTTTGCTTTAATTTAATGGGGTGGGTGGGTAGAGGCAATTGGTAGGCTGATGGTCATTGGAAACTATTACCAATAACCAGGGGTCATTTCCTGCGGGAGCGCACAGGAGCAGAGCTCCGGCAGTAAGGAGCCCAGGGGGCGGGCACATGCAACAAGCCCTGCCCCCTGCTCCCAGCAGCCCTCAGTCAGGCCACAAGGAGCAAAAAGCAGCCAGGTGTTGCAGAGCCCCCCCCCAGCCCGCCTTCAGGTACAAGCTCTCCCTCCTCTGTGAGGGCAGATCTGCACGTTCCAGCCCCCCCCCCCAATAGCTAGCAATCCAAAACAGTCCAGTGGCATCTTTAAGACCAGGTTTTATTCAGGTACAAGCTCTCCCTCCTCTGCGAGGACAGATCTACATCTCCCCCCCCCACAATCCGCCCACTCAGTGGCACCTTTAAGACCAAGTTTTATTCAGGTACAAGCTCTCCCTCCTCTGCAAGGGGGAAGAGGTCTTGCGCCCCCCCCCCCCCCCAATAGCTAGCGATCCAAAACAGTCCAGTGGAGCCTGAGCGGTGGGTGTTGCCTTCTGACACACTTCCGGTGATGTCAGGGTGTGTGGCATATGCAAATAAGTTATGCTAATGAGTTATGCTAATGAGCTCCTGCACCTCTTTTTCTACAAAATGACCCCTGCCAATAACCACTGATGTTAAAAAACCCTGGTGTTAAAAGCCATTGCTGTCCTCAACCATACACTGGGCGGAATATCTCTGCCTTACAGGCCCCGCGAAACCTTAGCAGGTCCCACAGGGCCCCGATGTTGGCCGTCAGAGAGTTCTACCAAGCAGGAGCCAGGGCTGAAAAGGCCCTGGCGCTGGTTGAGGACCATCGGACGCTCTTTCGGCCGGGGACTTCCAGCAGAAGCAGAATTCCAAATGTCTTCACTCAGCCTGGCCAACTAGAAAAGGCAAAGGTAAAGGTTCCCTTACTGGAGAGCCAGTCGAATCCGACTCTAGGGTTGCGGTGCTCACCGTTTCCAAGCCGAAGAGCCAGCGCTGTCCAAAGACGTTTCCATGGTCATGTGGCCGGCATGACTAAACACCCAGGCGCACGGAACGCTGTTCCCTTCCCACCGAAGTGGTACCTATTTATCTACTTGCAATTTCTTGTTTTCGAACGGCTAGGTTGGCAGGAGCTGGAACTAGAGACGGGAGCTCACTCCGTCATGCGGCACCCGGGTCTCGAACTGCTGAACTACCGACCTTCCACAGCCTGCAGTTCAGCGTCTTAACCTCTTGAGCCACTGCAGCTCTTGGCCAACTATAGCGTGGGATAAAAGATGCACGGGCAAGACCGTCTCACCCGGCCTGGGCTTACCGATTCCTTTTTGGGCTCCCTGTCGAGGTCCAGTCTGAGCAGGGAGTGGTTGACCTTCAGGGCCAGGGACAAGGCCATCAGCCCCCCGGTCTTGATCTCGTTTTCCCGCAGGTCCAGGCGGAGCAAGCGGGGGCTCTCGGCGATGAACTCGGCCACGGCCACCGCACCTGGAAGGCCACAAGAGGTGCCCGATGTGAACGCGGGGGTGTGTGTGTGCCACCGGGAAGGCTTCTCTGCCTCGAGAGGCGGAGAACCCTCCGGCCTGGCGGGAGGAGCGCGGGGCCCGGCTCACCTTCGCACGTCAGCTTGGTCGACGCCAAGCCCAGCCGGAGCACCGAGCGGTTGCCAATCAGCCCGTTCTTCAGGTTGCGGACGCCTTCGTTGCCGATGGGGTTGTGGCCCAGGTTCAGCGTCTCCAGGCTCTGCATGTGAGGCTGGTGGGGCAAGTGGGAAGAGACAGACCGTCACTGCCAATGCTCCCTCTAAGCTGAGTTAGTGTGAGCCGGCTCACAGTTTTTTAGCCTCCGGCTCACACGTCTTTGTCTTCTCTCGGGAAAGTTGGCTCAGGAGCAAACTGATCTAGGCGGCAGCCAGACTGCTCGCTCGCAACTTTAATGCCGGCCGCTCGCGAGGCAGAATTTACTGCACGCTTAAGGGTTCGTTCAGCCAGTGGCCGGCTGGCACACGTGCCACCTGGCTCCTCGGAACTGCCCGACTGCAGGGCTCCTGGCTATCTAAAGCAGCCATGAAGTCAGCGGCTCCCAGGAGAACTGGCACAGGGGGGTCCACCCTTCCCTCCCTGGGGATCCAAATCTACAGGGAGGGGGTAGACGACATGGCGATTTAAACCCCCTGGCAGCCAAAGGCGAGTGCAACCTCTACAAAAATTCAGAACGGGGCAGCTACTCCGCTACCCGGCTAGGCGGCATAGCTAACAGCTGTTCAGAGACAAAAAATCCATTGAAAAGAAGAAGATGATGATGATGTTGGGATGGACTACTATCACACGGTGTGGCATTGCACAATTTAATGACACACAGTGAGGAGGGGGAGGAGATTGGATTTATACCCCGCGCTTCACCACCCGAAGGAGTCTCAGAGCCGCTGACAACCTCCTTCCCCTTCCCCTCCCCACCACAGACACCGTGTGAGGTAGGTGGGGCTGAGAGATCTCTTGACAGAGACTGCACCCGAGAGAACCCCTCTGAGAGAACTTGTGACTGACCCAAGGTCACCCAACTAGCTGCATGTGGAGGAGTGGGGGATCCAACCCGGCTCTCCCGGATTAGAGTCCGCACTCCTAAGCGCTGCACCAAACTGGCTGTCCTCCCTCTGCTGTCTGTCCAGAACCTAATGCCAACTTTCAGTGAGAGAGACAGAGACAGAATCCTAACCGGGGCCGACCCTGCTTAGCTTCCGAGATCTGACAAAATCAGGCTAGCCTGGGCCATCCAGGTCACTTGCCATCTCTCTACAGCTGTCCTTTTTGTAGCCTGGGGAGGGGGGACCCTTGAATGCTTTAGTCTTTCCAGGCAGGTCACAAAGTAATGCCGTGCACAAAATATTTAAAGGTAAAGGCAAAGGTCCCCTTGCTCGAAAGCCAGTCGAATCCGACTCTAGGGTTGCGGTGCTCATCTCCGTTTCCTAGCCGAAGAGCCAGCGCTGTCCGAAGACTTCTCCATGGTCACGTGGCCGGCGTGACTAAACACCAAGGCGCACGGAACGCTGTTCCCTTCCCACCGAAGCGGTGCCTATTTATCTACTTGCAATTTCTTGCTTTCGAACTGCTAGGTCTATTATTATTATTAGATATTATTATTAGAGTCTACTATCATATAGCAGATGAAATCCCAGTAATATAAATTTACAGACGATCACTTGAAAGTATAGGGTTCTCCTTCTTGGGAGGTTTTCAAACAGAGGCTCAATGGCCACCTGACAGCACGGCTGATTCTGTGAACTTCGGCAGATCACGAGAAGGGAGGGCAGGAAGGGTCGCCTCCGTGCTTAGTTCTCGCGGCCCTTTCTTACACGCCCAGGGAAATGCTGGTCGCCACTTTGGGGGTCAGGAAGCAATTTTTCTCCAGGCCAGTTTGGCCGGAGATCCTGGATCCTGTGAGTGTGGAGGGGGAAGGTATTTGTGAATGTCCTGCCTTGTGCGGGGGGTTGGACTAGATGACCCTGGAGGTCCCTTCTGGCTCTATGATTCTATTCTATGAATTATTCAAAGAACCAATGCTATTTGCCAAATGAGAGAACAGATGGCATTTGTTGCTGCTTATCAAAACAATTGCGCTTGAGCACCGGTTCCGTTGGTAATTGATAATTCGCAATCTGGAAGAAGGAAATTATGGACGCATGTCGTCACCGATAGCATCTCCATTATCTATTGAAATGTTGTAACTGGACTACACGGTCCACGGTTAAATATTGGGAGCCACTCCAAAAAAACCCTTTTTGGCTGCTTTTACAAGCTTTGCAATAGGTGTTAACCGTCCATTGTTCCTTCCTTGTGAAACTTTATATCTTTGAGTAACTGGAAACCTATACCTTTCTGTGAAATAGATTTTTATTAAGTTTTTAAAATGCACAGAAATGGGGAAGGGGAAAGAACAAAAGTAATAATTTTCTGCATATAACTTTCCTCTACTTATCATTTCATGTTATACAAAGATAGACTGTGAGGTTTTAAAAGTTCATAAAAGCTTCTTAATATTATGATATTAGGAAGATCATATCTTTATATTTCTCTCTTATCCCATTATAAAATGGAGTCCATAGTCCAGCAAAGTCTTCTTCCATTTGCCCTTTTAGCATCGAGATCAATTTGTCCATTTCCGCACTTTCCATAATCTTCACTATTAGATCATGTTCAGAAGATATTGATGGAAATTTCCAATAAGATGCAAATAAAATTCTAGCTGCGGTTACTACATGGATTATAAAATATCTTTGATTCTTGTCCAAGTTCTCTGGTATACAATTCAATAAAAACAATTCTGCAAAACTGTCTGTATAAAAGTATGTAAGGTAAAGATAAAGGTAAAGGTAAGGTAAAGATAAAGGTAAAGGTTTCCCTTGCTCGAAAGCCAGTCGAATCTGACTCTAGGGGTGTGGTGCTCATCTCTGTTTCCAAGCCAAAGAGCCAGCGCTGTCCGAAGACTTCTCCGTGGTCATGTGTCCAGCATGAGTAGACGCCTAGGCGCATGGAATGCTGCTACCTTCCCACCAAAGTGGTACCTATTTATGTACTTGCAATTTCTTGCTTTCAAACTGCTAGGTTGGCAGGACCTGGGACCAGAGACGGTAGCTCTCTCCGTCATGCGGCACACTCGGGTCCTGAACTGCTGACCTACCGACCTTCCGGTCTGCAGTTCTGCATCTTAACCTCTGAGCCACCGCAGCCCTATAAAAGTATGTACCACAACCCAAAACTTATGCCCTATATCACATGTCCACCATGTACGGTAAAACATACCCACATGTTTTTTACACTTCCAGCAATTATTCGACATGTTTTTGTACATTTCAGCTAATCTGTCTGGTGTTGGAAGCCTAGACCTTTGAGTGATTGTAAATTTATATTATTAGAATTTCATATGCTATAGGATAGTAGATTCTAATAATTAGTATGCAGTAAGTGGTTAAGACACTGAACTGCAGAACGGAGGGCTGGTAGTTCGGCAGTTCGAGACCCGAGTGCCGCATGGCGGAGTGAGCTCTCATCTCCGGCCCCAGCTCCTGCCAACCTGGCAGTTCGAAAACAAGAAACTGCAAGTAGATAAATAGGTACCACTTCAGTGGGAAGGTAACAGCGTTCCGTGCGCCTCGGCGTCTAGTCATACCGGCCACATGATCACGGTAACGTCTTCGGACAGCGCTGGCTCTTCGGCTTGGAAACGGAGATGAGCGCCGCATCCCTAGAGTCGGATTCGACTGGCTTTCGAGCAAGGGGAACCTTTACCTTTACCTTTGTGCATGGTGTTACTTTGTTCCTTGTAATGTTTTCAGAACGTGGCTGGAAGAAGACAGGCAGGGGGCTGGGGGTGGTGGGGGAGTCAAAGCAGAGGGCTCCACCTGGGAGTTCTAGGCGGTGACGGGCTCTGACGACGCCCTCTCACCTGTGCCACACCTGACCCAACACTCCCGTCTTCTACAAAGGGCGGCACTGCAGAGCGATGAGGAAAAGTGGACGGATTTGCCAGCTGGGGACCCCAAGAAATCTGCTCACAAACAGCTCCGGAGGCATCTTTCTTGGGCTGGGACGGAGAACGTTTTCCAAGTGCCGCTGCAACTGGGGGGGGGGAGGCGGACGGCGGGGCAGAAAGGCCTGTGCCTCAGCACGGGGCAGCGTCAGTGCTCGGTAAGAGGGACCAGGTTTTCGGAAAGCATCTATGGAGAAAGGTGCTGAATTCTGCCTAAGAGACCCACCCCCGAGGGAGGGCCTGGCTGGGTGTGCCTTGGACTCCCCAGCTCAATTCGAGCGCCTTAGAGACCAATGAGATTTTCGGCATGCGAACGTTCGAGAGACGAATCTCCCTTCGTCAGATAACTGGCCTAAGAGAGCTCTGATTCTCGAAAGCTCGTTCCCTGAAAATTCGGTCGGTCTTGAAGGTGCTCCTGGGCCCAAATCGAGCTCTTCTGCTGCAGACTGACACGGCTAACCCTCTGCGACGATCCCAGACTCACCAGCGTCACGCCCATGTATGCCATGCCGGTGTGAGTCAGCTGGTTGTTCCACAGCACCAGCGTGACCAGGCCTTTCCGCTGCTCCTTCAGCCCTTCGCAGACGTAGGCCAGCCCTGCAACGCAAGCGGACAGACAGCATCAGGGAAATGAGAGGGGTGATGGGGGGGGGGTGAGAGGAGCGGAGGGAGCCACTGCCTGCCTTTTAAACAAGCCAAGCCCTCCCTCAGCGCACACAGGCTCAGACGATCCTTCTCCTACTTCCTGTGGATTTCCGCTCCGGCAGCCAGGAAACGGCTCACGCTTTGAAAGATTTCTGTTTTTAAATGCCAAACAAAGAACGGCGGGTCAGCATGGTTCGCACCTTGGAACAGAGGAAGAGCCCTGCTGGATCAGACCAGCAGTCCGTCTAGTCCAGCCACCTGTTTCATTTTCAGTTTTTTTCGGTTTTCTCGGGGAGATACTGCTTCCTGCCTTTTCCCCATCCCCATAGAAAACAATGGAGGATTGGGGGCACACTCTTTGGATGCCCCTAGAATTGGACCCCCTAGTCCAATCTTTTCCAAACTTGGGGGGTCTTTTGGGGAGAGGATCCACCAGCTACAGTAAAAATCTGGTGCCTCTACTTCAAACCCCCTCCCCCCGCCCTCCTGAATACTTATTTGAAGATTTTTGCCATTGACGACTACAATGGCCCCATAGGATATAATGCAGCCGAAAATAATACTGAAAATTTTGGGGTACCAATAGAATACCAGTATTGGTATTCAGATATATTCGGGAATCCCGAAAAAAATTCGGCTTTATTATACCCGAATCTGAAAAAAAACACATTTATTTATCCTGCACACCCCTAGCCTAGACTCAACCAGGGCTAGGGCGTTCTCGGCCCTGGCCCCAGTCTGGTGGAACATGCTTCCGGTTGAGATCAAGTCCCTGAGAGACCTGTTACAGTTTTTCAAAGGCCTGCAAAACGGAGCTGTTCCGCCAGGCCTTTGGTTGAGGCGGCAGGCATCTACCAGCTGGCCTCCCTGTCGCTGTTGCATGAGACCACTATGGCTCGGTTCAGGCCCACTCATTTCCCAGCTGTAGGAACTGAAACAGAATATACTCTGCATGTTTCCCAAAGGCTCATAGGAATGCTTTGGAAACACTCACCATGACTGGACTAGCAGAAAGGGGGATTGTTGGAGACGTATTGAAGATGCCACTCTTGAGTGCTCTTCTAAGCTTTCTTGCCCTGTGGAAGGGAACTCAAAAGGCATTTAAATGCCCGCTGAGCTTTCTTTTTCCAGCCCCACCCCCCATTCCACAGTGGGAAGGAGAGGGAAACCCGATGGCAAGCCACGGCGCTCTCACCCTGGCTGTTGGCCAGTGGCGGGCAGTGGAAGTCTCTCCTCAAAAAGAAGGTTTCTGGCATGGCTATTTGTGGGGCGGGGCTTTTAGTTAAGGGGGTGGGGCCCCGAAATGCCCCCACTGGAGTTCCGGACCTGAATTAGATGGAAGCTCCGAAACGCCCAAGTGATATACACACCTCTAGCCGCACAGCTAAGAAACCCCCAGAGCCCTTAACGTTGTCTTAGTAGGGGGCACCGATTCCCACCAATTCCCTCTTCACCCGGCAGCCCACTCGGCCATCGTGAACCATACACGGAGTTCCCCAGAGACGTGAACAAGAACTTATCTCAGTTCTATTGATGGCTGCAAAAGTAGTCATCGCTGGTAGTTGGAAATCGCCAAATAAATTGTTATTATCAACTTGGCATATAAAGCTATGGGAATATTACACGATGGATAAAATATCTGATGTTGTTGCTAGTGCTAATATGTCTAACAGGGAATCGAACCTTCATTTGAAATGGTTTCCTTTTCTAGAGTTTATATTTAACGTTGACTCCGCTAAGTTCAAGGTTCCTCAAAAATACTATGAAGTTATTTGTTTTATGTAAACTTAACTGAACAGAGTTTCTACACCTATTATTACCTTATCTAAGTCTACTGTTGATATTTGTTATCACTGTATTTTGTTCTTTTTACCGTTTAAAAATAAAAAAACTTTTTTTAAAAAAGAAAGAGAGAGAGAGACGTGGGGGAGACAAAAGGAGGATGTCTTGCCTCCCCCCAGCACAGACACACACTCACCTGAGTCCAGGATGTGGTTGTTCCTCAGGTCCAGGATCTGAATGGAACAGTTGAACTTCAGGAGGTTGCCGAGCTGAGCGGAGTCCTGAAGGCTGTTCAGCTTGTTGTCGGCCAGGTACAGCTCTCTCAGGTTCACGTTCATTTTCAGAGCGGTCGCTGAGGAAGACGATGGAGGGGAAGGAAAGAGGAGGGAGACATCAGCGAGAAGCACCGGCCTGCCCACCTGTCGTGGCGCCCCCCCCCCAGCATTCGGCTTCCCCGACGTGGCGCCTGCCCCAGAAACGCACGTGGGTTCTCCCTTCAGTATGAGCCTGTCACCGGGTACGCTGGAAGGGGGGGACCGAGGGGGGGGCACTGAGTACACTGGAGGGGGGGCAAAGGGGGACACCCCCTCCCCACTTTGACTCTGTCTGAAAAACTGCCCCGCCTGCCAATCCGGTAGCCAACTGCTGGCCTGTGTTCTTACAGCTAACGGCCTAGTTACGGACAGCCTTTGCCCTTGGGTTGCAAACGGGGAAGGGAAGTCCAACGGGATATCTTGGACTCGGGTGGCGGAAGAAAGCCCTGTCAAGTTGCGGCCGACTTATGGAGACCTCGTAGGGGTCTGCAAGGCAAAGAGGCATTCAGAGGTGGTTGGACACTGCCTGCCTCTGCGTAGTGACCCTGGACTTTGGTGGTCTCCCATCCAAGGACTAACCAGGGCCGACCCTGCTTAGCTTCTGAGATCTGATGAGATCGGGCCAGCCTGGGCCATCCCGGTCAGGGCAGAGAGGAACAGAGGTGGTTTTCCCTTGCCTGTCTCTGCGTAGAGAACCTGGACTTAATGGGTGGTCTCCCATCCAAGTACTGACCAGCAACGTTCCCTCTAAGCTGTGTAGTCTTGTGAGCAAAAATTCTACTTTGTGAGCTGCTGGCATTACAGTTGTGAGCGAGCGATCTGGCTGCTGCATCAATCAGTTTGCTCTGGAGCCATCCCTTCCTGAGCTGAGACAAAAAATGTGTGAGCCGGAGGCTAAAGAACTGTGAGCTAGCTCACGCTAACTCAGCTTAGAGGGAACACTGCTGACCAGGGCCGATCCAGCTTCCCAGATCTGACAAGATCGGGCTAGTGCAGAGACAGGCCATTGCCTGCCGCGGGCAGAACAGAGGCTCTCTGTGGCCGGAGGTAAGAAAAGCCACCTGCGGCTCAAAGGGCTGACGGAGGGTTAAAAAGCGGTGGCTGCGGCTGAAGATGTGAAAGACGCCAAGACCAGACTTGCCTGTAATTCCCACCACGCAGTAGCAGGGTTGCCTCCCTCCTAACGCAACTCCGTCCGCTGGCTCATGAAGCCTGTCTCCCCTCCCCCCGCCCGCCCCCCAAAGGGGGTATACACAGTCCAAGAATCAAAACCTTCCCTTCCCCTCTGCCCACAGAAGCCTGGAAAGAAAAGCAAGAACGCAAGGGCAGACGAAGCCGGGCGTCCGTCCTTGCGCCCACGGGACGGGACGTAACTGGAGGAGACTCCCTTTTCAAGCCTCATCCATTACTGGCGTAGGGTTGCGTTTTAAAGCTCCTCGGGCTGGCTCCAATTCCATTATTAAAGCCGTCGGCCAAGTCTGTGCTGTGTTCTTTACGTCTAACGCTGCTTGTTCTAGCTCATCCTACCGCCTCGATTTGAGAGACGGAGAGTGCCGGGATCGGCAGCCGGACCTGGCTTTTCGGTATCCAGGAAAACAAAAATGGGTACAAACGAGAACCCGCAGCCAGGGCTGAATGGGGTCTCTGTAGGATCATCGGGAGGGGCCAAAAATGCCATCTAGTCCAACCCCCCCTGCTCAAGGCAGGATCAGCCTAGAGCATCCCCGACAACGGTTCGTCCAGCTGCTCCTGGAAGGCAGCAAGTGAGGGGGAGCCCACCGCCACCCTAGGCAGCTGGAATATAGAACTACAGAGTGGGAAGGGGCCACACAGGCTGTCTAGTCCAACCCCCTGCTTCAGGCAGGATCAGCCTAGAGCATCCCTGACGAGTGTTTGTCCAGCCGCTGCTTGAAGACTGCCTGTGAGGGGGAGCTCACTGCCTCTCTAGGTGGCCAAAATAGAGAATCATAGAGTTGGAAGGGGCCATAGAGTCTATCTAGTGTAATCCCCGGCTCAATGCAGGATCAGCCTAGAGCATCCCTGATGAGTGTTCGTCCAGCTGCTCCTTGAAGGCGGCCAGTGAGGGGGAGCCCACCGCCTCCCTGATGCCACTGCTGAACAACTCTTAGACCTATTTCTCACAAGAGCTGCGCTGCGGTCGCGCTTCCCTTTGCCCCGCTTCTATTGGGAGGCCCAGCTTGCTGCCACCAGGGCCAGGGCCTACTCAGTGGCGGCTCCTACCTGGTGGAACGTGCTCCCGGAGGAGATCAGGACCCTGTGGGACCTTGTGCAGTTCCACAGGGCCTGCAAGACGGAGCTCTTCCACCAGGCTTTCGACTAGGAGCCGCCACTACCACCATCACCAACACACCCAGCTGATAACTGGGAACAGAGTGGCCCTATGGCGATCGCACTTCAGCGGTGCGGCGGACCGGTACCGTTGAACGGGGATGGAGACAACATCTATTGGACACCATCTTGCTTTAATTTAAGAGGAACAGCATTGAGCACTTTCTGTAATTAATTTTGATATTTATTCTGTTTTATCCTGTTTTATTTGGTCTTATGTATTGGCACATGGTGCCCCTGTTTGTTAGACGCCCTGAGCCCATTCGTGGGGAGGGCGGGGTAGAAATTTAAATAAAATAATAATAATAA